AGAAAGAAAGAAAGAAAGAAAGAAAGAAAGAAAGAAAGAAAGAAAGAGAAAAAGGGAGAAAGAGAAAAAGAAAAAGAAAAAGAAAAAGAAGGAGGCAGATGGCAGTGAGGAGAGTTAAGCAGGCAATTTCAGAGAAGATGTGTGTAAACCAGGTGCAAGTGATAGGGTTAGCATCCAGTTATGTCTGGTACCTGGGCAGGGGCGTTCGGAGCATTTCTGTACCTCCGAGGGGGGCCCGGCACAGCCCGAGAGCTTGAACTTCTGGCAGCTTCGCCGCCGGACTCGCTTCCCGCCTCTGCCACAGCTCTTGGAGCAGGGCCCCCACGGCCCCCACTTGCTCCACTGGGGTTCTGAGGAGCAGAAACCATCAGAAGCTGTTAGGAAGCCTGGAAGCTGCTCTTCTCCACACAACTCGTGGGCATTGGAAACGGTCAAATGCCGTGACTTTCACATTCAGTCATCCAGACCTTGGGCTCATCCGGAGGTGAGTTATTCCAAATTCCATTCAGCAGCATTCTGTGGAGCTGACCTCCGACACCAACCTCCCGGGAGTGTAAATTTGCCAGCAAATAAAGCATGTGCGCACGCACACATACACTCACACCATGAGATTGCTTGCAAGCAAAATCACCCTTTCGCAAGTGGCGAGTTTGGTAGAAAGTTGTCTTCCCAACTTAAGCAAACAAATACAGATGCAAATTCCTTCCGTGACTTAGGAAAAAACAACGTTAGCTCTGAAGCACAATTAACTGATGTATTGTTCTGTTTCTGTTGCTAATGAGCCAAGATCAGCATTGCATCCCATAATATTGATCAACTGGTCAGTTTAAGTCATATCCTAAATATTGTTTTGTACTTTCTTAATAGGAAGGGGGATCAACCCAGATAAAACAATCCTTTGCAGAAGGCTCAGATAGTCTGAGACTGAATTACTAGGGACAAGATATCAACATGAGTGCAGGAACCCGGGGGGGGGGGGCTTGCCTCCTTGCCTCCTTCTCTAGGAGGAATATCAGCCAAAGAAAGAAGGGTGACAGAGAGCAATTCCCCCAGCTTCCTGCCAGAAAGAACAATCCTAAGAACTCAAGCCCAGAGCTTAGAAATAACTCATGCAGAATTTTTAGAAGATGTTGGGTGCTGGTACTCCAGATATTTAACAGCCCAGCAGAGCAGCCCAAATTAAGGAGCTCCTGTCTTAAAAAAAGTTCTTGAACCAACCAGTGAAGGAGTGGGTATACCATGCCAATATGCTGCGCAAGGCCCAGCAGAGAGGCAAAATGCTCTGCTAGGAAGCCATGAATTTTTGAGTAGACTTTCATTTCTAGCAGCATGCAGACCATTACGAGCTAGAATCGCATCTCTTCTTTCTGCTATTTCCATCCTGCACCTTAGGAAAACAAACCCACGCCCAGCTGCTGATTTGGATCGGTTTTTAGCAAAAGTTCGGAAAAGACGATGGGACGGGGCGGTCCGCATTCCCTGCTTTGCCCAACCTGGGGAACAGATTGGGTGTCTTTTGGCAAAAATGTCTAAAGTCTGCCCGAAAAAGTACTTGGACAGAACCACATCTTCGAGGCAGTAATGTTCATTTGAAAAAGCGGTGCCTATAAAAACAGGCTTTTCTGGCTTTGTAGAGACCGCAAGTGCACGGAAGAGATTCCTAGCCAGTTAAGTAGTGACCCATGGGGGGATGCTGGGCTTTATTTTCGCTGCAGTTCCTGATCTCTCTGTCTGTCTGATTTCATGCAGAAAAATTCCAGATGGAGGCCAGACCTCAGGGTGTGGAGGCAGGTGGAGCAACAGAAGTAGCTGGGGGAAGGGGGGGGGTACTTTTAACGAAGTCAATTTGCTTTAGCCTGCGTGTGTGCGTGTGTGTGTGTGTGTGTGACGGGAAGGGGGGAATAAAGGCATCACCGTCCCAGCACAAACTCCAGAGTTCAGAAATAAAAAGAGGGAGTTTAAAAAAAAAATAATGCCATGTTCCCCTGGTCATTTTTCTGAAGGGCTCAGGGTTGCATGCTGGAGCACTCCCTGTTTAATCTCTGCAACAGAACTGCGAGGCAGCTTAGGCTAAGAAAGAGGGTTTAGGTGGCAAAAGAAGGTGTTTGGCTAACGGGGAGGTTGAAGGAATCTACTTTGTGCTGAAAATCCGCCAGATTCTCTGGTCTTTGCTTTGATTCTCCACCACTTTCCTTATGTTTGTCCTTTAGGTTACAGATGTGCTTTTATTGCACAGTTTGTAAATGACTATCCTGCTCGGACCTCTTGCCGGAATGCACCCCCTGCAACTAAAGCTGCTCCAAGCAGGTGTGCAAGTCTTGAGTAGAGCCATTCTTGATTCCTCCACCTGGAAGTAAGCACAGAGAACAACCTCAAATGTACGCCACGGCAGAGGTGCTTACCTGGGCAAGGTCCGGCGCTGCAGACTCGGCGGTCCTTGGCCTTCCCTGGGCACTTGAGCATCTTGTCCAGTGCTTGCTGAGACTTACTCAAGCAGGTTCGGTGCCTGCTTTGGACTCCACGGAGACCACACGCTGTCCGTGAGCAGGTGCTCCAGGAGGACCAGTCCGACCAGGCCATCCAGTCCGTAGGATCTGTGGGAATGGGGGTGCGAGGAGATGAGACAGAGGGGACGTACAGCTGAAGCTTGGTTGTAGTAGGTTTGGGGTTCGGCTAATAGGCTTGGTCCCATTAGGGACTTGCAATAGAAAAATGACAATGGATGCTAGCCTTAACAGGTGCTGGGAAAATTCAGCGAAATCCTGGAAGAAAAGGGTTGCTTGTGTGTCTTTGTGTTATAAAATGCCTGCACCCATTTTTTTCAGGAAGCACCCCAAAAATTCCAAGTGAGGTTGCTGTTGGCATTTGCAGTTCCTTTAAGAATGGGACCTGATGGCTTCACCAAGGTGCTGCCCAGGGCTCTTGTTTTGCTGATTAATAAAAACTGGCCAGGCTGCCAGGTTAACAGCATTGCAATCGCCCTCATCCCCCGATCGATATGTTAATCTCCTGCAATCAAATGTCACCTACTTCTGACTGTGGTCCCCCTTATTTCATCATTGACTGCCCAGCTGCTGCTCCCCATGTGACTCAGAATCTATAAAACACTCTGTGTATGCTCTGAAAGCTTGTCGTTGAGGTTGCCTCTATCTGGTAATATGCTATTGTTAGTAACTGCAGTTATTGGATCAGTAAAGCAGCAGAGGTTCAAACTTTTGATCTTCCCCAAGTTTTCATTTCCTTGCAAATTGAAAATTGAGGTTCTGTCGCAGGGACAGAGCATCCTTTTGTGGCATTATAGACACAAAAAGACAAAAAAAGGATAATGGAAAAGACACAGCCGAGAGTAAAAGGCACCTGGCTGAATGATATTAGGCACTCTGAGTTCTTTGCTAGAAAATCAGTGGGATAGAAGTCTTATAAATGAAAAAAACTGTGTTGTTGTAAATGGGAGAGAATTTGATGGTGCGCAACAAGAAGGAGAGGTTATGGCCATTGAAAGCTACCCTTTAAATGTCATGGTGAAGAAGAACTGATGGGAGCAGAGAAAAAGTGCCCCATGTTCCTTGCGAGGGAAGCACAGCTCCCGTCAAAACTCTTCCTGCGACTGGCACAGAAGCGTTCCTGGGCGGCTTTCCGGAGCCTTGAGCTGCACACTCACCTGTGGGACAGAGGAATCGGATGTGGTAGTTGGAGCAGCTCTTTCCTGGAGGTTGCTCCTGGTTGAGGCACCGGAAACCATCCTGGACACTGTAGTGAACAACCTGTCCCACCTCTTCCGGAAGTTCCCACTCCGTGGTCCGAGCCTGGATGGCCATGGGCTGGGCACAGACACGGTCCCGATAGTAGAATCGGATGGCCTCCAGGGTCTCAAAATCCCCCTCGCCTCCAGGATGGTCCACATTAAACCACGAGGTCCATTCACCTGCTGGTGAGATCTGAGTGTTAAGAACACACAGAGAGGCAGTGTGGTCTAGTGGTGAGAGTGTTGGGCTGGGGACATCCGGGTGCTGGTCCCCACTTGGCCATGAAACACCCTGGGTGACTGGGATAGCCACTGACTCTTATTCCAGCCTACCTCACAGGGTTGTTGTGTGGAGGAAGACTTTGTGTTCCTTTTAGGAAAAGGGGGGATGTAAATGCAGTGTCACATCATCATCATCATCTTCATCCCTCTTGAGCCCAGCAAACATATGTCTCAATTTTAATTGCCTCATTTAGATTAATAAAAAAGGACATCTGTCCACCAGTGGTCTAATACCAAGGCAATGATGCGTATTAGTCTGAAACTTGGCATGCATACCAAGGGGATTGTCTGAGTGTGCATCTCAACATTTTCCAAAGATAATAATTCACTGAAATTAATTTATATGTGTCTGCAGGGTTGAAGCTTGCGGCAGCAAGTTTGGTCATGAGGGATGTGGCCCCCAGACAAGCGCTGCAGCTCAAAATTCCTACTCTGGGGGGATTTCTCAGCCAAGGGATAGATCTACAGGTCTGCTGGCCCCGTTGGCTAGTAATTCAAGAAAACAGCCACATGCATTAATTTAATAGATGCTATTTGCATAGCTTCTCGAGACGGTGAAGACTGAGCATGTCCTCTCTTTGAAGGGTGAAAAGACCCCCAGATTAGGGGCAAAAGTGCTTTTCCGTTGCCTGTCCACAGCGGGCAGCCCTTTGGCATGCAGGTAGGGCTGGGGAGCCATGGACAGTCGCTGCTTGGAGGAAAGGGGCAATGCCTCTAAAGGGTTCGGGCCTCTAAAACGCCTGTATGGGTTGCTTTGGCCACTAGCCCGAAGTTCTGCACCCCTTTTATAAGTGCTCCTAACGAATATGGAATTAAGGAACAGGCCACATCGCAGGCGGTTTTCCAGATCCAGAAGGGAAAGGACTCAGCTGGTGAATGTGGTGGCTTTTGCACCAACTTTCCCCAAAGCATCCCATAGATATATATATAAAAAGACAACCTACCCGGCATTTCAGCATCGAGGCCGGTCTGCACTTTCCCCCTTTTCTTCTGTTTCTGCCACTGCTCTGCCTTAGCAGGACGTGAGCCATTTTTCCCTTGTGGTTCTGTGGAAGATCCTGCAACAAATTCAAAGAGGCAAAGAGACCTGTGGTACCTTAAAGCCTGCGGATTTGTGGATTGTTGCCTTGCATAGGCAAGAAGCAAGCAAAGAGTTGGAGCAACTTTTCTATGTTTAGCTTGGAGAAAAAGGCAATTAAGGAAGGGAAGACATGACAGATACAGAAAATTACATTATGGCATGGAGAAAGAGAAATAGAAGGTCTTATTTTTCCCTTTCCCATAATACCCAAAAGGGCGATCCCGTGAAGCTGGTTGGTGGGAGATTCAGGACAGACAGAAGAAAGGGCCTCTTCAGATAGTGCAAACTATGGAATTCACTTGGTCATCCACCAATTTGAACATCCTTTAAAAGGCGTGGACAAATTCATCGAGGAGAACGCTATCCATAGCTCCTAGTCCTCATGGATCTTTGCTACCTTCAGAGTCAGGGACTGTGTGCCTAGGTACATCAAGTGCTGGGGAATATGGATAGGACAGCTCTGTTGAACTCCTGGCAAGCTTGTGGGCTTCCCATGGGCAATTGGTTGATGAACTGAATGCTGGACTAGAAGAACTTTTGGTTGATCCAGCAGGTTTCTTAAGAGGCAATTTCAGAGGTGGAAAAGATTTTCCATCAACCAAGCCTCTCTTGCAGTGGGACACACATTTAAACCCATGCCTGCCAGAGCCCTATAGCTTGAGTTTGGGTCTGCAAGGCTGAGAGAATCCCAAAGGACCACAGACTTGCTTGGAGTTGGCCCTAAAAAACCCTAAACCCCGCTTCTCTCCTCGGTGTGACATTCCCTCAGTGTAAGTCATATGCAGTGTTGATTGCCAAGAGGTCTGTCTGGTATGGTAAGGGCCATGCCATGAGGCAGCACTAAAAATGGCTAAATGCTCTGGGCGACATTCCACGCTGGAAAACCAGGAGTCATTAATTACAAATTCGCCTTATAATTTCCCCAGAGGAGTCCGCAGAAGAGATCAGGACACAGATCTCTCTGCCTCTTCCCACCTTTCCAAAAATGCTGTATTCATCTCATTGGCCCGTATTATTCTGGGAACCAAGGGAAGCGGACTCACTGCAGGTCCTAGCATTAGCCAAGCATGTGTTTGGGGGTCTTTCCTGACCTTCCCCATTATTACTTTCCAGCCAAGATTTTCTTCCACGGATGCCAGAGGTCTCTTTTCTCTTCCCTTCCAAAACACAAAGGGGAAGTGAACGTTGACAGAGAAAGGCTCAGAGAGAAGCAGGCAGAAAACTCAGCCCCAGACATGAGACAATGGACTTTTCCCTGCTGCGCCACCCAAGCTGCCCAGAATCTTCCAGAAGTTTGCCAAAATCATGGTGTGAGCTGTCAGACTTTGCAATTCATGCTGCCTTGAAGGTCAACAGGATTAACCACTGCTGGCTGAGCAAATGTCAGCAGAAGGAAAGATTAAAAGTCTCTCTGGGGGAGCCAATGTTCCCTTCAGCCTTTCCTTCAACACCCACCTACCCCAGACCTGAGTGAATAAAGGGTCCTATGAACATCTGTGAACATCACCACCTTCATCATCATTATTTTCATTTCTACACTGTCCTGTAGCTGCAACTCTCCGTTCTGGTCCTCACGGATGGTGAGCAATCTTACTCTCCATTCACACTGTTACTTTACTCTTAAACTGGATTCAGACCAGTTGTTGAGTTGGATGTGCTGACCAGTCCTCTCCATCTTATGCCCTCTAGAAAGGATGAGGAACTAAAACCCAAGCTTGTTAGGGTGGCCACAGGGGCTGCCTTGCAGGGGCAGTTCTCCATTCGAAGGTGTCCTCCACTTGAAGGACTGATCCAGCCAAGTCTATGCGAAAGATGAAAGATTAAAAAGTAGACAGCGTCCAAAAGTGGCCAGAAAGAGTTTGAATGTGGAAAATGAAAAACTGGGTCACAAAGGCACGACATGCCTGGATTTTCTTCCTCGCTAGGGTGAGCTGTGTTGCATTCTTGTTAAATAATTTCCATGTGTAAATATTATGCAAATTTGGATCCTGTTTCATACCTTTTTTTTGTGATGGGTCTTTGGGGACTGCAGAGAAGGGGCAGAATTTTAATTATAGCCTGTGCCCTAATAAAATTCTCTCCGTATTGGGTTTAGGGAATATTGGGGATTCTAGGGTTTTCTTCTGTCTAAACAGACAGGAATACTTTCTAGAAAATGGCAAAGCCAAGCCCAGGAGAACAGTCCATTGTTCGTTCCGGAGGGAAAAGCTCAGGGCAAAACTCTTCACTTACAGCTGTGGCTGTCCTAAGACAGAGAATGGGAGGACTGATAGCAAAAACGAAATTCCGGGTTAAACCCTAAGAAAGCCCCTACTGAAAAATCTTTGCTGTGTGAGAGTGGAAATGTTTGGAAATAAGCATCCACACACCTCCGGAGGAGCAGAAGCCCTTGCCTGGTGGAGAATTTCCATGAGCAACACTGTGTTAGCGAAAACACAAACAAACAAAGCCCCATGGTGCAGTTTACAAGTTAATGCAGGCAACGGGAAGGTGTCTCATTAGTAAATATTTGCATGGAAAATGAGGATAAGGCTTCCTGCAAGGCTGGACCAAGGATAGTGCGACCAGCTATCCTGTTTACCCACGGTGGGCAGCCAGGTGCTTCTAGGGAGTCCAACATCAGCCTTATATTGCCCCCAGGAAGGTGGAGGAGGCATTAAATCTTTCCTGTATGTATTTGTTGTTGCTGAATTTCTATACCACCCCGACAGCCAAAGCTCTCTGGGCGGTGTACAACTGTCAGTAAAAACTGGAAATAAACATACAATAACAACGTCATAAAATCAAATGCCACAGTGATTAAGCAAAACGGTGTTGCCAGCCAGCCAGCCAGCCTCTGCCCTCTGTCCATTCTGTGTTCAGCCAGCACACCTCAGTTGCTTACGTCTCAGTATTTTTCTGTCGTGTCTGTTGAAGACATTGGCCAGCCTCGCTCTGCTCTTATTGAACAACAGGGAGCTGTTCCTTCCCTGGGCTGGTTTCGGACTTCTAGTCCGGCTGACGGCTTGGAATATTGCAAACTGGCCCAAAGCATTGCCAGCACCTCTGCTTGGGGAAAGCTTGCAATTTCTCGCAAGCTCTGCAGAGGGGCAGATCTCTTGCTTTCTGTTGGATTTCACTTTCAAGCCCACATCACATCCTGCAGCAAGGAATTCCATATATTTGTTATCAAAAGAAGTTCTTTTGCCAGCTAAATCAAGCTTGAGTATCTGTCCATTAATTTAATTAGGTAACCCTATATTCTAGTATTCTGAGAGAGAGAGAGAGAGAGAGAGAGAGAGAGAGAGAGAGAGAGGGAGAGAGATTGAGCTCTTTCTGTTGTCTCTACAATTATGTGGTCTAAATATTAGGAATAAATTTATTATTGACTCTTCATAATCTGAGCTACATTGCAGAACCCTTCATTATTTTTGCCCTCAAACATTTCCAACAAATGCTTCAGTTTTCAGATCTGAGATGTTGATCCTGCCACTTCTTATGTTTTTGCAGAGCCAATCAAGGTAATAGAAAAGCTGGAACAGAAGGCGAGGAAGAGCAAGGTCTAGGACACCAAATCCACCTTCTGTGTTCGGAGATTTCTGCCCACATAAGCCCACGCATCCCCTTCCAATGTCATGAACTGACATCAGAAAGGAGAATTACCTTGAGTTGAGACACAGGCAGAGCCAAGGCAGAACAAAACCAAGATCCACTTTAGTTCTAGCATCACTCCGACTTCGGGAACTGGCTCACAGATTAGCGGAAGATCGACTGTGCCTTGAGCAGCAGGTTGTTTCAGAACTGGAGCAGAGACAGGCAACAGCCCTATATAAAAGCCATTCCCCCGCTCC